AACAAGCGTCACAGATGTATTCTCAAGGCCGATCAGTATTATCGAGAGAGAATTATTTGCAAATATATACACACCAATCGAGCGAACCAAGGTTCGCTAATGTGAAATTAGATGGACTGAACACGCGCTAGAAAATAGGTATTGACAACATCGCAACAATACCTTTCTAATGCAAACCACATTTTCTTGTGGTTTGCATTTCGGCACATAAGTGCCGAAAGAGCCCATAAATATAATTTCAAGATGCATCTTTCGAAAGCCACGCTTATTCGCACATCCGATACCTGAAACGAAACCGTTTCATGGTTAATTAGCAAATAATATATAAATAATTCTTTGCTTAGTGAAACGCCTCCTGGACAGAATACAAAAACCATACTATACAAAAACCATACTAGTTACTTTACTAATTATATGTTGTTAATTTAGGGTGCAATAGCTAGAAAAATTTAAATACATTACGTAGATATGTACCTATAACTATTTAAGTTTCTGGAAGTATGGTTATGTGATTTTCTTAAGAAACTCAAAATATTGTTCTTTTACTTTATTATTTTATTTCATAAAATTAAATTATTTAGTTCATAAAATATTTAACTGAAATTCTAGATCCCAAAAAAATTTCACAAATGTTCTAAGAATATCAACAAATTGAAAAATAACAAAAAAATTGACAAAAAAAATAAACCTCTTTTTAAGATTAAAATTATTGATTTGGATACAGCTATGATCAATAAAATTCGTGCATTACTTATGAACCGTAATGAACAGAACAATAATCTCTTAGTTTAGATGTTTAGATAAGTGGTGAGTATCAGACACGTCAGGGGCTGTCATAAAAAAACAGCACTTCCGACATGTACCGGTTTTGAGGTCGAAAGCTATACAAATGGTATGTATACCATATCATTTATACAAATGGTATGAAGACCGAAACGTTACATCGATCTTTTTCAGCGAGAAATCGCTGACAATCACAGTTTTAGGATCTACTTTTTTACTATTATTTAACCGTTAAAAATTTGATATCTATATGCAATCTTCATATCACTATCCTACCAAGTAAAACTTTTTGCAAATATAATTGCAACACTGAGTGGAACGAACACCTAAATATGGCAACAAGGGAAGAAAATTGTAACTCTGTGGTAAAACTTGGAGAAATAATATTTTCTTGTTGTGGTAATGCAGCGAAAACTATATAAATAGACTTACTTTAATAAAATTTGTAGGTTT